TCTGCTTCTGAAAAATCAGCTACTGAAAACCCTACTCATCATGTTGCCAAGAGTCCAAACTGACTCAATGGCAACTGGTTAATAATGTCTCGAATGCCTGCCCAACACCTAAGCCTTATCTTTACATTTGGTCAATAGGAAATTATACCTTGTCAACATTCACAGTTGCTAAAGAGACTGATATTCTTTCTTTTTTTTTAAATAAATGTTTTATTGTGAATTGTGTGATAGTTTACATGGGAGAACATTAGTTTTACATTCATTCTATCATATTGTTTTATTGCCATAGTTACCATCCCGTCCATGCATCATCACCCAACCAAAGGGTATACCCTGCAAGCCTGCCCCCCATCCCCCCAGCCCCCAACGGTCATCAGCACACAGCCCCTTTCCCTCTCTGGATCTCAAGTCCCCAGCCACTCCATCTCTCCACATCATCTTCTCTGCCTCCATCTCAGGCATCATTGCTTCTCTGGGTAGGGTCCCGCTCTCCGCTCTTCATTGATGGTCCCAAGGCCCTCCGCTCCAAGACTGAAAAGTTAATCACTCCTCTCCTTGCTATAAAATGTCCACCTTTACATTTCCAACCCTCACAATCAGTCCTGATAACAATTATTCACTATTGCATCATAAGAGACCCATCCGCATTTCATTTCATCAATCCTTCCTAGACAGGTTGGATACTACTCACTGGAGACTCTACCTTCCTCCACACCCTTTGGATCTAGGTTCCCTCTTGAAAACTTGTAAGCCAGTCACTTCTTACCTTTGTATCCCTCCCCCCATTTTGGGTAGCCAATGTCCAAGTTGCCCTTCCCTGTCTACTCTTTGTAGGAATAGTTCTTGCAGCAGGGATTTGTTTCCTCTTTTGAGCTACTTCATTCATAGGTGTAGGTCAAGTTTAACAAATTGTATGAGATGACGCTTTTTTTCCTCTTCTTTCTTCTTCGGGTTGAGCTCTGTTCATCCAGTCATTGAAGCCAGGTCAAGTGGGTATCATTTGCAAGTGTGGGTGTTCTTGCGTCTGTCTGCCCTCTTCTTATGAGCTGGCCGCTTTGCTCTCCATTCTAGTCCTCTGTGGCTGTATCATTGACTCTGAGCCCATGAGTCCTCAGGTCTTGCCTCGCTGCTGGGCGACCAGGTCTCCACCCGGGTTCACAGTAGTCTGCTGAACGATGTAGGGCTAAGCTCGCCGCTTCATTGATGTTCTTCGGTCACTTCCCCTTATGGATGATGTGCGTGGTTGCCAATTAGAGCATGTATTTCCATTGCGTCTTAGTCTTGGAAGAGGATTTGCACTGAGTGGACCCGACCACTTGCCTTGATGTCTCCTGGGCAAGCAACTTGCTTGTTCTTGTAGTAACAGTCAGTCTGCCTCTATTGTTTTGTATTCTTCCTATAGGTCTTTCTTTCAAGAACTATCTTCTGGTTTTCTAGCTGCTCCAGACTGGTCTGCTTGTCCTTTCAAGTGGAAAATTTCCCATCTCTGAAGGTCTGGATGTGGTTCGGGCTTCCACCTATAGTCTTATGTATTGAAGAGGCTCCTCAGGAAACCTCCTTCACTGGCACATTGTAGCCCCATTTTAAGTATTCCAATCAGTTATAGGCAGAAGACGGGCTTACAAGCTTTCTATGGTGATATTTCTGGATATTCCTTTCTCTCCCCCTCTAGTGTCTGATTTATATTATAATGCACAGATAACCAAGGTTCAAGTAACAGCCAAGCATCTTAACCTTATTCCCCACTTTTCCCCATCCCAGAGCCCTGTTGTTCTGAAGCTGTGCCTATATCATTTTTTACCTCTGTCCCATTTAGCTCATTCATACCTGTAGAATTGTTCTCCCATCTGCTTTGTTCTTCCATTCCCCTCTCCCTACTTGTATATTGCCCCCCTCCCCAATATCCAAATTATCCTGTGTCTATTCCCTGCCCTGTGCTCCACCTTCCCCTCCCACTCCTGACCCTACCCCTACATCCTAGCAACCAGTTAAGAATCCACTTTAGTGGATTAGTATGGGTTCTTTTTCTTAGTCTTTTACAGTAGTAGTCCTATGCAGTATTTTTCCTTTTGTGACTAATTTCACTCAACATAATGTCCTTAAGGTTCATCCATGTTAGGAAGTGGCATGTAACTTCCTAGCATAATACTCCATTGTGTGTATGTACCACAGCTTGTTTATCCATTCTTCAGTTGATGGGCACTTTGGCTGTCTCTATCTTTTTGCTATTGTAAACAGTGCAGCTATGAACATTGGTGAGCATATATCTTCCCGTGTTGTGGCTCGTTTTTCTTGTGGGTAAATACCAAGTAGAAGAATTGAGACTGATATTCTTTCAAAGCTCTAGAGATTTGGAGGATCAGAGAAGAAGAGGAAGACCCCCAACTAGGTGACTGGCACAGTGGCAGCAGTAATGGGCTCAAATGTAGAAACAATTGCAAGGTTGGCCCAGGACCAGGCAGTGTTCTGTTCTGTTGTACAAAGAGTCGCTATGAGTCAGTACCGACTTGATGACACCTAACAACAACAGCAACAACAATTCTTTCAAAGGAGTTAACTACAGCTATGGCTAAGGGTTCAGTGGTAGAATTGTAAGCAGCCATGCTGGAGCCCGACTGCCACTGAATTGGTTCCAGCTCACAGTGACCGTGTAGGAGAGAGAAGAACTGCTCCATAGTGTTTCCTAAACTATAATCTTCATGGAAGCAGATTATCAGGCCATTTCCCCTCAGAGCTACTCGGTGGGTTTGAACGACTGACTGCTCAGTTCATAGTCATGTGTTTAACCTTACACCACCAGGACTCCTCTATGCTGTAGACCTAGATTCACTTTCCAGCCAATGAACCTGAAACACAGCTACTGCCCAGCTTGGGAATTGCTATGATGCTGAACGGATTTCAGTGGAGCTCTCAGGCTAAGATACTTCAGAAAAAAGGCCTGGGGATCTGTTGTTGCTATTATTAGGTGCCAATGAGTGGGCTCCAACTCACTTACCTATTGCTCAACAGAACAAAGCACTGCCTAGCGCTTCACTGTCCTCGCAATTGTTAGGCTTGAGCCCACTGCTGCTTCCACTGTGCAGATCTATCCTATTGGCAGTCTTTCTCTTTTTCGCTGTCTCTCCACTTTACCAGGTAATGTCCTTCTTCAGGGGCTGGTCCCTTTGATAATATGTCTGAAATCTGAGAGATGAAGTTTTGTCATCCTGGCTTCTAAGGAGCGTTCTGGCTGTACTTCTTCCAAGACAGATTAGTTTGATCTTCTGGCAGTCCATGGTAGTTTTAATATTCTTCTCCAACATCATAACTCAAATGCATGAATTCTTCTATGACCTTCCTTGTTTAACTTTCACATGCATATAAAGCGACTGAAAATATCATGGCTTGGGTCAGGTGCACTTTAGTCCTCAAGTTGACATCTTTATTCTTGAACACTTTAAAGTGATCTTGTGCAGGAGATTTGCCCAATGTAATACGTAGTTTAATTTCTTGACTACTGCTTCCATGAGTGCTGATTGTGGATCCAAGCAAAATGAAGTCTTTGACAACTTCAATCTTTTCGCCATTTATCATGATATTATTTAATAGTACATTTGTGAGGATTTTTTTCCCTTTACATTGAGGTACAATCCGACTAAATGCAGTGATCCTTTTTCTCCATCAGTGAATATTTACTTAAAGTTATCTTCAATTTCGGCAAGCAAGGTTGTACCATCAGCATATCAGAGATTTTTAATGAGTCTTCCTCTAATCCTAATGCCATACTCTTATTCATCTAATTCAGCTTCTTGAATTATATGCTCAGCATACAGACTGAAAAAATATGGTGAAAGAATACAGACCTTGTACACACCTGTCCTGATTTTAAACCATTCCGTATCCCCTTATTCTGTTTGAACGACTGCCTCTTGGCATCTGCACAGGTTTCTCATGAACACAATTAAGTGTTAAGGAATACTCATTCTCCAGAATGTTTTTCATAGTTTGTCATGATCCACACACTGAAGAAAGCCTTTGCATAGTGTAAAAAGCACAGGTAAACATATTTCTAGTCTTCTCTGCTTTCAGTCAGGATCCATCTGACATCATCAATGATATCTCTAGTTCCACGTCCTTGTCTGACTCCAGCTTGAGTTTCTGACAGCTCCCTGTTGATACACTCACTGGTACAGCCGTTTTGAATTATCTTCAACAAAATTTTACTTGTGTGTGATATTGATGATATTGTTTGATGATTTTCACATTCCATTGGGCTACCTTTTTGTGGAATGGGCACAAATATGGAAGATTGGTCTCTTCCAATCAGCTGACCAGCCAGCTGCCTTCCAAATTTTTTGGCATAGATAAGCAAATACCTCCAGTCTTGCATCAGTTTGTTGAAAGATTTCAATTTGTATTTTGTCAATTCCTGGAACCTTGTTTTTTGCCAATACCTTCAGTGCAGTTGGATTTATTCCTTCAGTACCATCAGTTCTTGATCATATGCTACCTCTTGAAATGGTTAAACACTGGCCATTTCTTTTTGATGCAGTGACTCTGTGTATTCCTTCTATCTTCTTTTCATGGTTTCAGCATCATTCAATATTTTACTCATGAAATCCTTCAATACTGCAAGTTGAGGCTTGAAATTTTTCTTCAGTTCTTTCAGCTTGAGAAATGTTAAACATATTCTTCTCTTTTGGTTTTCTAACTTCAGTTATTGTTTTCAGATGACATCAAATCAGTTCCAACTCAGAGTGACCTTATGTATGATACAATGAAATGTTACCTGACCCATCCCACAATTATTACCATTTTTTAAGCCTATTTTTGTAGCTACTGTGTCAGCCCATCTGGCACAGGATCTTCTTTTCTTTTGTTGATTCTCTATCCAAGTGTGATGGCTAAGGTTGTGTGTCAACTTGGCTGAGTCTCTATTCTTAATGGCTTGGCAATTATGATGTAGTCAGTCTCTCATGATGAAATCTGATATACTATAGTCACCTCCATGATGAGAGGGTCTTTCCTTGGAGTTGTGGTCTGCTTCTCATATATGTGGATGCTCTGAAAATGTGCACATGCTTTGTTGTTGGATCTGAATTCTGCATCTAGCTCATCATCTAACCTCTGGTTCTTTGGACTTGAGCCAGCAACCTGTCACCTTACTTGCTGACCTTGAATTCATTCACCTTTGCAGCTAGCAATGCCTTTTGTCTGACCTGCTGATCTTGGGGCCATCACTCTTGCAGCTATGTAAGTCAGGTGCAGCCTCCAGCCTGTTACCTGACCCCAGACATGGCACTTGCCAGTCTCTACAACTGAGTGAGCCATATCCTTGAAGCAAATCTCTCTGTGTATAAGGTTCACTGGTTATGCTTCTTTAGAGACCACAACCTAAGAACAACAATCATGTCCTTCTCCAGGGATTGGTTCCTCCTGATAACAAGTATGAAGTAAGGAAGATGAAGATTTACCACCCTCATTTCAAATGAACATTCTGAAGAAGTATCTAACAAGTTATAGTTAGCTTGTTGGATACTTCTTCCAAATTATATTTATTCATTCTTCTGACAGTTCATGGTCAATTCAATATTCTTTGCCAACACCATAGTTCAAATGCATCAATTTTTCTTTGGTTTTCCTTATTTACTGTCTAGCTTTCCCATGCATATGAGGCATCTGATAATACCATGGCTTTAATCAGATGCATCTTAGTCCTAAAAGTGACATCTTTGCTCTTGAACACTTTAAATAGATCTTTTGCAACAGATGTGCCTAATGCAATACGTCATTTGATTTGTTTTCTTTTTTAAGTTTTTATTGTGAATTATGTGACAGTTTATATGGGAGAACACCAGCTTTACATTCATTCTACCATATTTTGTTTCATTGCAGTGATTACAATCTCCTCCCTCCCTGAGTCCAGAGTCCCCAGCTGCTTCATCTCCATCTCTGGCATCACTGTTTCCCTGGGTAGGGTCCCACACTCTGCTCTTCTTACTTGATGGTCCCAGCGACCTCCACTCCTGGACTGCAAAATCAACCACTCATCTCCAAAACATCTACCTTTATATTTCCAACCCTCATAGTCAGTACTGATAGCAATTATTCACTAATGTACCACAAGATTCTTATCCCCATCTCCTTTCATCACCCCCATCCAGACAGATTGGAAACCACTCAGTAGAGATTCTACCTTTTCCCATAATGCTCTGGAACTAGGCTCCCTCTTGAGAGCTTGTAAGCCAGTCACTTCTTGCCTTTGTAGCACCCCCATTTTGGGTAGCCAATGTCTAAGATGCCCATCCCTGTTAACCCTGTGTACTGAGGGGGTGGGAATGATCCTCGCTGCAAAGATTTGTTCCCTCTTTTGAGCTACTACATCCACAAGTATAGGTCAAGTTCATCAAATTGTAGCTAATTACTATTTTTCTTCCTTTTCTTTCTTCTTCTAGTCAAGTTCTGATCATCCAGCCATTGAAGCCAACTCAAGTGGATAGTATTTCCCCTCACCTCGTATCAGCTGGACACTTCACTCTCTGCTCTAGTCCTCTGTGGCTTTGTTACTGTCTCTGGGCCCAGGAGTCCCCAGGTCTTGCCATACTGCTGGCCAACCAGGTCTCAACCCAGCTTTCTACTCCTGTAAATATTTAGAGCTTCAGAAACCCTATACAGGGTCACTATGAGTGGGAAATGACTCAATGGCACAAAACAACAAAGTTAGTAGTAGGATAAAAGAAAATTCACTTCTTGTTAAGAACTCAACAAGCATCTACTGAACACTGTGTTACTTATTAAGGAGTAGTGTGATAAAGGCCAGTCACTGATGGCTTATGACCAGTGTTAATCACAATTTGGTGAAGACAAGAGATACATAGCCACAAACTCATACTATTGGTATGTAGAGATTGATACAACAAAGGCACTTACAAAGAAATAGCAAAGAAATAAATTCTACCTCCTACAAGTTGTTGATTACTTCTTTTAGTACAGATACATATTGGTTGTTGTTGTTAAGTGCTGTTGTGTCGGTTCTGATTCAGCAACTCTGTATAGGGTTTCTGAGGAGTGGCTGGCAGGTTTGAATTGCTGATCTTGTGGTTAGCAGTCCAGTGCTTACCCTGTAGCACACACAGTACCCCAGTAGAGATATAAAGTAAATTCTGTATCCCAAACAAATTTCTACATTAGTGGTGACAAATTGGCATTTTCAAAACTTCTTAAAGCAGATAAACAATATTGGCAAACTTACAGATCTTAGGGGAATAAAAACAGGTGTTGCTCCAACCATTCTCACCATGGGCTCATAGCAGTCATAGAAAGGCACTATTATTATCACCTGAAGTCAGAACAAATAAGGATATACATCAATTTATTAATTCATTCAACATTCTACGTGCATAGGTAGATTTTTCTGGAGAGAAAGGTAACAGATCTCATCAAAGGGATATCCTAGTCAAAAATGTTAAAAAATTCTGTGTATTTCAATCAAGGCAATGATATCTAGAATCTAAGTGTTATACCTGACAGTGACAAGAGCAAGAAGCAAGGACAGAAGAGATTCTGCAGTGCTCTTTAGTATGGAGTTGTTAAAGGCACTTGAGTTGGTTCTGACTCACACCTACCCTGCACGGGGTCTCCAAGGAACAAGTGGTGCGTTGAACTGCCAACCGTGGCAGTTAGCAGTCCAGTGTTTATCCTATGGCACCATACCAGGACTGTTTTTAAAGTATTATCTTGAGAGTAAAGATGCTTTTCTCTTTCCAACAGCATTTCAAACCAGAATGGATTCAGGGAGATCAGTCAGGATGCTATTGTACTTGTTTGATACCTAGTTTCCCTTCAAGTTCCTTATATCTGGATTCTTTTTCTTTCTAGCCCTTAGAGATTTATTTCTTGATCCTTTTCCCCTAAACTCCTGGCTTGACTTTTGGGATAGCCCAACCAGTGTAATCATTATCACACTCCTAACCCCTAAATCTGGAGTTAGGGTTCTGACAGTTGGCCTTTCTATGAAAGTTTACACGTATAATTTATAAATATCATGTATACTCAATATTTCATTCTCTTAAAACCTATCAGTAGTTCCTGAAATTTTAATATTATTATAGTCTTCATATTTACCATTTCAATTGCTACAGAAAAATCCATTAATTCTACAATAATGTTTTTTTTTTATTCTTGGTTTTATAATAGTGCTACATTCACATGAAAGTACATACAGTTTCTCTATTCTTACTTTACTAAATAAATTCACAAAATTTATATTGGTAGATTAAAGAGTATAACGACTCATATGCCATTTTGTATGCATAGCCAAATTGCTTTTTGAAATATCTGGTAACAATTTGTAATTTCAAAATTCTACACTCAGTTGTCTCATTTAAGTTTTTGTTTGCTAAATTAACGGTACCCAATTACTGTTCAAGGAGCTCTGGTAGCGTCGTGGTTATGAATCGGGCTGCTAATCTCATGGTCAGCAGTTCAAAACTACCAGCTGTTCTGTGGGAGAAAGATGAGGCTTTCTGCTCCTGTAAAGATTTACAGCCTCGGAAACCCTGTACAGGGTCGCTGAGTCAGAACCGATTCTATGGCACATAACAACACCAAATGTTCTGTGGTGCTGTGGGTTAATGTGCCAGACTGCAAAGCCGTTTGAACTACAAGGTCGGCAGTTCAAGCTCACCAGCTGCTCCTTGGAACTCCTATTATACAGGGTTGCTGTGGGTCAGAATTGACTTGAAGGCACTTAACAACACAACAACAATTACTGTTGTAAATTTGTATGTTTTACTATTATGGTGGTGGTGGTTAGGTGCCACGGAGTCGGTTCTCATTCACAGTGACCCTGCATATAGGGTTTCTGAAGCTGCGAATCTTTATGGGAGCAGAAAGCCTCATCTTTCTCCTGTGGAACGACTAATAGTTTTGAAATGCTGACCTTGAGGTTAGCAGCCCAAGTTGTAACCAGTACATTACCAGAGCTTCTTTTTTACTACTATACTTCTTATGATATGAAACACCTGCTCAAAGCTTTTCCCTCTGGGGTCTTATGAAGTCCTTACCTTCTAACACCTCTTTATGTCTGTACCAGTAATTGAACTTACACTGAGGCCTACTAAGTGCACCACAAGAGATGTTAGATTTTATTGAGGACACAGAAACAAACCAGGCAGAGATTCTTCCCTCAAATGGACTCTAAGTTTTTTCATGACTCTGCAGTGTTCTCAGGGACTAAGATGGTTTATATTTGTAACTCTGGTGGGAAAGAGTGCTTAAAATGAAAGAGAGGCTGATACAATAAAGGAAGATAAATGAGGCAGTTAGGGTGGTAGAGAAGAGGATTATATCATCAGTCCTCATTATTCATGACTACATCCTTGTGAATTTATCTGTTCGCTAAAAATATTCGCTGCCTTGTGGCACACAGTAGCAGTGTGGAAACAAGTGAGGTTGCAAATAGGCTGGTTTGGTATAAGCAAATTTAGTATTTGTGAAAACATTATACAAGGGTCTTCAAAAAGTTCATGGAAATGTGTATTGTGGATAAAACAAACTATGCACGGATTTTGATTTTTTAAAAAATTTGTACCCAAATGAACTTATAATAAGGTTGGCAGTTCAAACTCACTAGCCGCTCCTCAGGATGAGCCAGAACCGACTCAATGGCACTTAACAATTTGTTATAAAATGTCTGAATAGGATCTAGTTTGAGGTACTAAGAAGGAAGAAACATCTGTTTGAAAAGAGCCCCTAACAGAGCAATAGGAATTCTGCTAAAATTGAAGTTAGAAAACAACATCAGATTTATGATGAAGCTTGAATGAAGAATGGTGAAAATCACTTATGCTTTGTGAAAAGTTTTTGGGAGTAGTGTCCTCCAAAATAAGCTGTTGACAAATAGATAATCTGTGCTGAGAAGGGACGAGACAATCTTGAAGATGAAGTCCACTGTGGCAGACCATCTAGCACTTTGAGAGAGAGAGAAAAAATTAATCTAGTTCGAGACCTCATTGGAGAGAACCAATGGTTAGTAGCAGAAACAACAGCCAACACCACAGGCATCTCAATTAGTTCAGCTTACATAATTCTGACTAAAAAAATCAAAGTTGATCAAACTTTCTGATTGGTGGGTGACAAAACTGTTACACTCAAATCAGCTGCAAACATGTGCAGTATTTTCAGTGGAAATTTTAAATAAGTGGCATCAAGTTACTGAAGCATTTCTTGGATGAAATGTAACAGGATGAAACACAGCTTCACCAGTACGATCCCATAGACAAAGTACAATTAAAGCAATGGCTACGAGGAGTTGGAAGTGATTTAGTCAAAGTAAAATCAAGAGCAAAGGTTATAGTAACAGTTTTGGGGGATGCTCACGGCATTTGCTTATTGAATTTCTGAAGGGCCAAATAATAATAACATCAGTTTATTATGAGAGTGTTTTGGAAAAGCTAGCTAAGGAATTAGCAGAAAAATGCCTGGGAAAGCTTAACTAGAGAGTCCTCTATCAGGAAAATACTCCTTATTCCTCTCATCACACAATTTTGTGAGAGTTTTTATGGAACTCCTTCTTACTATTTTAGGTGCTATCCATACAGCAATAAACAAGTTCTCATAGAACTTAAATCCTACTGAAGGAGAATTTCAATTAGCAAGAAAACAAATAAGTACATTTGATTATTTTAGATAGTAATAAATGGTTTTGCTGTTACTGTTAAGCATCATCAAGTCAGTTCCAACTCACAGTGACCCTGTATAAGGCTTCAGAGGTTTTTTAAATCTTTGCTGGAGCAGAAAGCCTCATCTTTCTCCCACGGAGCAGCTGGCAGCCTTAAACCATGGACATTGTGGTTCACAGTCCAGTGCCTATCATATGGAGCCCCCACATTCACAGTAATAAATGGTATAAAGAGAATACATGAGGTAAGTGTGATGGAATGTGAACATGACTACAGTTTCAAAATATTAGATAAAATTATCCGAGAAGATCCCTCAGAGGAGATGACACTTGAGAGGAGATGTGGAGAATGAGAATGAGGAAGTTATTTGTTCATACTACAAAGACTTATATTTGCATTGACAAACACTGATCTAGAACTCAGGGTCTAACAGTGAACAAAACAGACAACATTGCTGCCTTCAAGGAGTACATATCCTAATATGGTGGAGACAAACAATACAGAAACTTAAGTGAAGCATAATATGTAGAATGGGCTTCAAAAGAAGAGAATCTCTCTTAGGCTCAACTAAATATTCCTGTGACTGACTATAGGACACCCTTGCCACCAGACTGCTCATAGCTTTCCAGGAGAATAGTTATCACTGCATATGCATGTGAAAGTTGCACAATGGAAAAGGTGTTGGTGGTGGTTATGTGCCGTGGAGTCGGTTCCGACTTTACAGCGACCCTGTACAGAGTTTCCGAGGCTGTAAATCTTTACGGGAGCAGAAAGCCTCATCTTTCTCCCGCGGAACAGCTGGTAGTTCTGAACTGCTGACCTTGAGGTTCACAGCCCGATTTATAACCACTACACTACCAGAGCTCCTTAATGAAAAAGGAAGTCAGAAGAATTGAAAAAGGAAGTCAGAGATCGAGCCAAGGTTTAATCTTTACTTTTAAGGAGCATTCTGGTTGGAGTTCTTCTAAGACTGATTTGTTTGTTCTTTTGGCATTCTATAGTTTATTCAGTATTGTTTGCTGACACCAAGGTTCCAATGCATCAATTCTTCTGACTTTCTTTTTGGAATATATATATATATATATATAACTGATTGGAATACCTAAAAGGGGGCTACAACATGCCCAGTGAAGGAGGCTTCCTGTGGAGCCTCTGCAATACATAAGACTATAGGTGGAAG